AAGTTCTGGCCAGGGACACATCACAGGTTTCTGTTACTGCCTGTTTAACAGGCAATCTCCATCCACTATTCCCTTAAATCCCTCCATAAACATGCTGGTTAGTTCTGTAAAGGTAGCCTATTGTGAGGGAAATTCACAAACACTGGCATGTTCCTGACATGGTTCATGCTCCTCCCCGACACTTGCCCCTTTTGCGGTGTGTGGGAGACCCTGGTGCACATCTATGTCGAGTGCGCTAGGTTGCAGCCCCTTTTCTGGCTCCTCCAGAACCTTCTCCTCAGCTTTGGGCTGCACTTCTCCCCACACCTCCTGCTCTATGCACACCTCATCGGTGGCCTCACGAAGTTGCGAGACCTCTTCCTGGCACTGGCCAAGGTGGCCATCCACCATACCAGAAGGAGGATTTGGATGGGGAGATGCACTGTGACTGTGGGGCCTATTTCCGCTCCTCTCTGAAGTCGCGTCTCTGGGCAAAGTTCCTCTGGGCCACGTCCAATGGTTCCCTGGACGCCTATGAGGAGCAGTGGGCACTGTCTGGGGTTCTCTGCTCAATGTTTCTCCCCCCCCCCCCCGGCTTCCTGCTTTTGACCCTGTGACCCTCACTCCTGTCCCTGTTTTTTCATTTGTGGTCCCCAAAATTTACTTGAGCCCTGGGTTCAGTGGCTCCTCCCCTTAGGGGAGGGGCCTTTAGAAGCCTGCCCATTCCCCCAGAAACTCAATAGGTGCAATGTCTCAGGTGTGGTGCAGCCTATCCCTTGAGCAGGGCCTGAGTGAGAGGACACTCAGCCACAGGTATTTCACTGACCTCCTCCACAACCAGGGCTGTCCCTACCCATAGGCAAAGTACGCAGCTGCATAGGGCACCAGGAAATTCCTGGTGCCCTATGCAGCTGCATGCTGCTCCAGCCCCCGCCCTACCTCTTCCCACCCCTGGTCCTCCTCAGCCCCGCCCCCACTGCCCTGAGGACTGCAGCAGGGTTGGGCCTACACTCACTGGCGGTGGGAAGTGTACTCACTCTGTACCACCGGTGAGTGCTGGGGGACAGTTTCCCCTCTATCCCCCAAGGCTGGGAGCCAGGGGAGTGGAGCAGAGCAGAGTGGAGCAGGCGGGGGCGGGTCACTCCACTTCCCACTGCCCCGTTAGTGCGGGGTCAGCCTGGCTGTCCTGCACTCACCAGGCGGCAGGAAGTGGAGTGACCCAACCCCAGCCCGCTCCGCCCTGTCGGCCCGTGCTGCGGGGGCAGTTTCCCTCCTGCTCCCCCGCAGAGGCCTGGGGCCCCACACAGCCCTCCCACACGGGGGCTGCATAGGGCATGAAAATGGCTAGGGGTGGCCCTGTCCCCACCCCCGACCTTCAAGTTAGTTTGTGCAATAGCACTTCTCAGCCAGGAACCCTCCTGCCACCTTGCGCTGTCACAGATTCCTAAGACTTTCAGCCTGCTCTTGATGTGATTTCTGTTCCAGCCTGCTTCAGCCTTGTCTGTGCCCTACCCTGACCTTGCTCCAGCTCTGTTCCTGACCCGGTCCAGCCCTGCAGTTGTTTACTCACCCCCCTGGACCTGGCTTCAACCTTCAGCCTGACTATGACTACAGTCTTGAGTTGGCTTGTCCACAGACTGACTCTAGTTCTGACCCACAATCTGCCCCAGATCCCAGTTACAGCTCTCCCCTCAGCCCTGTGTCTGGCTTCGACCACCACCAGGCCTGGCCACCTAGAACCCATAGCCTGACACCTATTCTCGCTCCTCCACCCACCTGAGAGAGAACCTTTCCAGCTAGGGAAGAAGGACAGGGCAGATCGGATGATAGGGGTTGCATAGGGAATCCTAGAACTTGCAGCTGGGAGACTCAATAAAATGCCTTTGTAGTGAGGCCCAGATTTGCCTGAATTTGGTCTTGTTTGTGACTAAGTGTGGGTCACAAACTCTTCATTGCTTATTACTCAGGAGGATCTTCTTTCAAGCAAGTTGTCTTTGTGCGTTCTGCAGGCCCTTGTTCACTGGCACTCACTGAAATGAGCATAGGACCTTTGTGTGGTCATAGTTTAGGCAGCCCAGCAGATAAGCAAACATGTACTCCTACCAAAAAACCTGCAGAATGTGCATCCATTTTAAATGTCCCCAGCTTGACTCCACCAGTGTTCAAAGCAGTTGATGCAGCAAAGTTATGCTATTCCTGACACCAAACATTATGCCACTGCAGTTTAGACCTCAATTAACTTGAAAACATAAATCATTATCTTCTACAACCAGGAGAGATTCATTTTCATGTGTAAACAGCTCAGTCATGATGATGGTTTGAAGCTGGTCATAACATTTCTTTTTAATCTAGTTGATCAAGTCTCTGTGCCCTTTGTAAGACAAAGATTTTAAAAATAGCCACTGTATTTTTCTTTCTTTTGTTCTCTCTTTCCAGTTAGTCATAACAACAAAGTTTATTTAAATCAAGAGTGGGGAAAGTATTTGCTCCTTGAGGGAGCAGAAAATAGCAAGCCATTCAGCCCTGAGATGAGAGAGAGAGAGAGATAAAGATGGATAATTTAATATTTAAATTAAAAATAACACTTTTTTCCATTCACGAGAACCCACATCTCTTTTCCTAACATGAAAGTGAATTTTTGTATAACATATTTGTTAATAAGTGAATGTTTGCAATCCTTAAAGAAACCTATGGTATACCTATACTCAAATTTCATGTTTTATTTCCCTGCAGAAGATGCCTTATTTTTGTGAGAAGAGGGTTCAGAGAATGTCTAAACGTTGTTCTTCTTGCTATGTGCAACTGTGGATACAAAGGAAATAGTGACTATTTATGTCTCAACTTTTTTTATAAGTAGTAGTAACATATGAACTGAAGCTTCATAAAGAGAATTCCTGTTTGTTTCTTTATGTTCCCAACAAAATCTAAGATTAACAATTTAGTGTGGCTCCACTAAGGAGGAAAGGACTCTTGTCACCATTAACTTACACAAGTATATCCTTGCTGCTCCTTGGGAGATATTCTGCCAAGGGGTTGGGGAGCAATTAAGGTGGATGATAGGCAGCGTCTTTGGCACTGGGTGTCAGCGTAGTCCTTGAGATCTACCAGTCCATTCTGTGGGGTGGAAGCCACCTTCCCTCCCCACTGAAATGACAATGAGGAAATGTCCGGAGCTTAGATTTGTGACATTCACTGACCCTTATGTGGGATATGCTCAAGTGGGGATGATTTGGCCCATAAACAGCACTTTTCTTGAGATTAGGGTTGCAGTCTTTGAAACAAAAATTGTAAAGCTGTTAATGGAAGATCAATGGGCCTGGTTCACTCTTCTCATACTCCATGCTTGGGAAGAGCAAAAGTTTTGCCTTTTGAAAACAGCAGATTTAATCATGCCAGATTTTTTTTTTAAACACTTCCTACAAGAGAGATCTCTTAAAAAGGCTCCTCTTCTCCTCATTTCAAACGATGGAAGCTGAAGACTGGGTGACACTGTCAAAAAAAAAAATACTTGGCATGCTTTTCTGGAACAAAATATACAAACTGTAGCTCCATATACATGTGTTTGCTCAGTGCTGTTGCATTCTTTCTTGGTGATGGTTATGGAAAAGTACTTTTGTTTAAAGGAGGAAACAAATGACTAGATCTTCCCAATCCCTAGCCCTCTTCCTTTTGTAGCACTAGGATTAGGGTATGTCATAGCGCTAAGAGGAGATTATTTATAGTTGGTCTACCTGCTGCAATGTAATCCTGAACGCTGGAAGAGCAGTGCTTCAGCAAGTAAAACTCTAATTATGGTAACTTATGTTTATCTTCTTTTTTTACTGTTACCCTGAGTAAAATGTAATGGGTGAGTTGGCAGTACTCATAATTTTATCGTTTGAAATAATAAGCACTGTATGTGACCTCCTTTCTTTTTCTTTTAGCATAATAGTATGAATAGGGTTTGTTCTTGTTCTGAAGATAAATGAGCTGAACCAAAGCTTATCTGCAATGTTATTACATTTTTCAAAACCCTTTTGATGCACAAAAATCCTTAGACCCTAAGAACAGTTACCTAGAGAACTTGCTCTGTGCTTTTGTTTTTAAAAGACTGTTCCTAAACAGTCCAATTGGCTACTTAGTAAAATTATTGATGCGCAGTTCTGCTAGTGAGATGCAATGGTTCTATCTCTATTAGTCCTGCACTTTCCCATGTCTGTGCAGTTGGAATGCAATGATATTATGTACATTTGGATTTACCAGCTCTCCTTTCTCTTTCTTCAAGCCTTGCACTGTTAAATTAGGTCACTGCATATATTGCATGTTAAATAAGAAGAGAGGCTTTGTGGTAATATAGAAGAAGTTAGTGTCAGTTCTTCAAACCAGCAAGTATTACTGGAAACATATCTTATTAAAGTATACCTCACACGTAAATCTTATACGTTCACATTTCTCCATACTACTAGTCACACATGAACACGCTAATCAGTTCTTTGTTCTGCATGGGTCTGTTCTCCTGAAAATTGTGGTATTTGGACTCAAGAAAACCAATGGGCCAAATTTTCTTCTCAGTTACACCTATGCAGTCTTACAGATGTCAATGAGTTTTCATGAGTGTAACTGAGAAGAAAATTTGGCCCCAAATACTCAGTGACCTGATACAGTGAACATCTATGGTTAGTGGCAATTGTCCATTTTCTAATCAAACATTTACAAACTTACTCTAGAAAAGGAAATGTATTTTTATTTTAAAGAGATTTGAGTTAAAACAAATTTGCTTACTGAGTTGAGATTCAACTACAGACAGACTTGGAGTAAGAAATTCAAAAAGCCCCAGAGTCCCATTTGGAAAATAGAAAATCTTCGTTGTTGCTGAAGGAGAGTGAGCTGACAGCAGCTCCAAACCCATCTCTGGGTTTCTGTAATGTACATCATCAGTGTCCTAACCCTAAACATGTTCACCTAAGACCAGGATGATAGGTGTGTGGTTCTTCTTAAACTGTAGCACTGAGGTATTTCCAACTCTTTTACATCTCTGTTAGGAATTCCTGGGGACCCAGCTGAATTGATGGAGGAATGATGAGCTGATGCCTATTTTCTGAGATGATGATATAGCTTTTTACATGCTTCTTCTTTTCATCAGCACATCTTGAAGCACTTTACCAAGAAGGTCAGTATTGATACCCCCCTTTTACAGATGGGAAAACTGTGGCACAGGGAGATCAAGTGACTCGTGCAAGGTCACCCTGCTGGTCAGTGGCAGAGCAAGGAATAGACCCAGGTCTCCTGAGTCTCAGTCCAGTGCTCTGAACACTAAGCTACACTGGCTGTAGCTAGGGCTGTGTCATAAATATAAAGAGGAAGGGTAACTACCTTTCTGTATACAGTGCTATAAAATCCCTCCTGGCCAGAGACAAAACTCTTTCACCTGCAAAGGATTAAGAAAGTAAGGTAACCTCGCTGGTGCCTGACCCAAAATGACCAATGACGGTACAAGATACTTTCAAATCTGGAGGGTGGGGGGAACAAAGGGTTCTGTCTGTCTGTGTGATGCTTTTGCAGGGAACAGATCAGAAATGCAGGTCTTCCAACTCTTGTTAAGTTAGTAAGAAATCTAGCAAGAAAATGTGTTAGATTCTGTTTTGTTTAAATGGCTGTTAAAATAAGTTGTGCTGAATGGAATGTATAGTCCTGTTTTTGTGTCTTTTTGTAACTTAAGGTTTTGCCTAGAGGGACTCTCTATGTTTTGAATCTGATTACCCTGTAAATTATTTACCATCCTGATTTTACAGAGGTGATTCTTTTACCTTTTCTTTAATTAAAATTCTTCTTTTAAGAACCTGATTGATTTTTCATTGTTCTTAAGATCCAAGGGTTTGGGTCTGTGTTCACCTGTACCAACTGGTGAGGATTCTTATGAAGCCTTCCCCAGGAAAGGGGGTTAGGGCTTGGGGGTGGGGAGAGGAGACGTCTCCAAGTGGTCTCTTTCCCTGTTCTTTGTTTAAAACGCTTGGTGGTGGCAGCATACTGTTCAAGGCCAAGGCAAAGTTTGTACCTTGGGGAAGTTTTTAACCTAAGCTGGTAAGAATAAGCTTAAGGGGTCTTTCATTCAGGTCCCCACATCTGTACCCTAGAGTTCAGAGTGGGGAAGGAACCTTGACACTCTGTTTCACATAATACAGCCAAACCTGCAGCTGCAGGGCTTCCCCATCTTACTAGGGTCCCACCAAGTAGGAATGATAGCTAGTGAGATGTTTACCATTCAGTGCCAGTGCCACCTGGTGTGGTGAACAAGCTGATTCATGAGACCTCTGTGGAGATTTCTTGAAACCTTTGAGGAGAAAAATACACACCTTAGTTCTTGACATATTAGTCAAGGACATATACTCATTCCGCTTTATGAAATGTCAGCCTTCCCCACCTCCCCCCCAGCTGGTATGGCAGAGCTGTCTGAGGTAAGATGGAGTGAAGGTAGTTATACGTTGACTTTTGGGGCTTGCGTATGGGTGACAAACTGGAAAGCTTTGCAGCAGGTCCGGAGTTGTTGGAATTGGCCCTGACTCCCCAAATCAAACAGGATTGATAAGTAGCCTTTTCTCTCTTCTGTTCCCCTCCTTGTTGCTTTGACTATTGATTTTAAACTTTCCATCTGCTACAGGTAGAGCCCTATAAAAACATGTCACAGACCATGGAATCTAGTCTCCCCTAATGAAATCTGGTCTTTTGTTTATTTTTACCCTATATTATACTATAAGGTAAAAGTGTACAAAAGTACACAGTGTTTCTCAAACTCGGGGTCCTGACCCAAAAGGGACTGCAAGGCTATTGTAGGGTTCGCCATATTGCCACCTTTACTTCTGCACTGCCTTCAGAGCTGGGTGGCAGCAGAGCAGAGGCTGCTGATTGTTGGCCGGGTGCCCACCTCTGAAAGCAGCACTGCAGAAATAAGGGTGGCATGGTATGGTGTATCGCTGCCCTTACTTCTGCACTGCTGCTGCTGGTGGCAGCTCTGCTGTCAGAGCTGGGTGTCCAGCAGCTGCTTTCTGGCTGCCCAGCTCTGAAGGCAGCGCAGAAGCAAGGGTGGCAGTACTTTGGACCCCCCCCCCCCAACACACAACTTTGCGACTTCTTGGGTTGGGACCCCGAGTTGGAGAAATGTTGAGTTAAGAGCTTTACATGTTTGTTTTTGCTGTTTTTAAATACATATTCATGTTTTGTTACAACGCCATGAAATTTAAGATTTGCATATCTGACACCATGAAACTCAAGACTTTTAAAATACTATAACTGTGAAATTTACAAAAGTGGACAATGAATTTAGTAGGGCCCTAGTTATAGGATCCAGCTGCCCAAGTTGCAATCTTGTGAAAATTGAAACAACTGAAAATGAAACCTACTGGTATGTACCTTGCAATTGCTTCAGACTAAACAAAACCAATTTTTTTCAATTTTTCCTTTTAAGTCATGTTTTCTAGACCTTTTTATAATTTTTGTTGCTCTCCTCTGGATTTTCTCCAATTTGTCCACATTTTTCCTAAAATATGGCACCTAGAACTGGACACAATAGTCTGTCCAGTCAACACCCTTGCTAATACATCCCAGCTTGATTTTTTTTTTTAACAGTGTTACACTGTTGACTTGTATTTAACTTGTGATCCAATATGACCTCCAGATCCTTTTCCGCAGTGAAAATCTGGGAGTGGTGGGCTGTGTCACTGCCCTGTTTAGTGGTGTATGGTTCTTCAGTTAACCATATTGCAGTAAGGGGAAAAAGTCTCTTCATCTGCAGTGTAGATCTGTTGGTTGTTCTCTTTTTGCTGCCCATATTAAACAAGTGTATAATGTGCATTGGAACTCTGCTTTCCATATGAGAGATTCATAGTGTGGATCAGAGGGGAAAACTTTGCCTTAAAAATGTAATAAATTGAGTGAATATTCTTAGGTACAGACTTAGCCTCTGAAGGCACCTCAGACTCATGGTAGACCTTGTGGCTGTGCAGATCCCTCATATAGTTATTAAAATGTTGATTTCCCTTATTTCCATTAGTGAACAATACAATTATTTTTTTGTATTTGTATTATATGTATTTTTGTATTTTGTATTATATGTATTTTTGACTTCTTTATCCAAAAGGATTTTGTTGATCTCTACATTTGACCGGCAATATGACCTGCTATGTAGGCATTAGGGCCTGATTTCCAAGACTGCTCACATTTTTCTTGCTCCCAAGTTAGGTGTACAAATGGCCTAGGATAGTGACATGTATAATGTTACTGCTCATTGACCATTGTAAGGGTAAAAACAGAGATAGTGGTAAAAATTATTATATTTAGATTTCATATAGTATATTCACATTAGTCTGAATACTGATAATCTGCTCCCCAGCTTTACTTCTGGTTCACTACTGTGTCTTTAAGGAAGCCTGAAATCATTAGTATATTTTTAGTAGAATTGAAACACCACCAATGATAATAAGTATAATAAAACATCTTTTTTACAGAGGTACACTAGATTAATAAATTACAAAATATTTCAAATCAGGTGAATGACGGCAGATGTAGAGCGATTAAAAACTTCTTACTCAAACACCAAATTCTCTTTTTCAGTATGTATTATATATGATTCAACATATCTCTAATAGTTTTGAGGATTTGGAGGGAAATTTAACTGAGAAATTATGCTGAAATTTTAATACTTACAAAAGTGTGCTTTTTATGCCAGTTATGATGGAGTTTTCTCTTGAAGCTTAATTCTTTGAATTCATGTCCGATAGCAGTGTTGGATGTCTGTGAGAACAAGGGAGAATTTCATGAGGTACTGTAGATAACACCAAAATCTGGAATGAAGGAAGATACTGAGTTTAAGAGAAGAGCTGGGTAGGGCAATTTTCTCTCCATCCTTTGTCGCTCTCAGCTCTAAATAGTGATCCTCTCTCTTCTCCCTCAGTTCTACTGACTATGACAAGATTCAGGCTCGTGTAATGGTTTTTAGAGACTGCATCTGATGAAGTGAGCTGTAGCTCACGAAAGCTTAGGCTCAAATAAATTTGTTAGTCTCTAAGGTGCCACAAGTACTCCTTTTATAAGTGTACAGTTACCTTTTGTGGTCAAAAGGAAGGGGTCACAGCTGTTCATATTGGAAATCTGGTTCAGGTACACCTTACCTAACTGGTAAGTGCTTATGGACCTTAGACTTCCTGGTGAATAGTTCTATGCACATATTCAACGCTGCAGAGGAATTCCACAAAACCTGAAGAGACGCACACACTAGATGACTGTGTGCTCCTTTAGGTGCTCTTGAAAGTGCCACCATAGTCTGGAGATCTGTGTGCGTATGAAATTCTCTGTGTAACTCATTTTCTTAAAAGAAGACCTCATTAGGCTTAATTTTGCAGCTGGGTCCATGCTGGTAGACCTTATGGCCGTGCAGATCCCCATTGACTAATGGGACTTTGTGTGTGTGTGTGTGACATAGTTTCAACAACAGAGCCTGGTAGCTCTTGCTGTAAGCGTGTGGTGTTAGTCAAAACAGAATGATGGTCTGCTATTAAATACTAATGCTTCTGAAGTTGGATTGTTGTTAAAAATCTGTGTAAAATAGATGGCTTTCGCAGGCCTCAAATAAAATTAAATTACCAAAAATATTGTATTTTCATGATAGATGGAAAGTGCTAGGATCTAAGATAAGATCCCCTGGGGGGGGGGGGGGTTCATAATGAATTGAGTACTACATTTTACAACCTCTTTTAGGAAAGTTTTTCACTGATTATGTCATAAAATTGAAACCTATATACTAAGATACTGATTTTTTTTTTTAGTCTAATTTATACTTCCATCTGCTTCCTTTCCTAAACTCATGGGATTTCAGCCATGTTATAAAGTAGGCTTCTGCATAGCTATATCATGCATCTGTAAGCTCTTCCATTGTTTAATAACGTGTGAATTCTTGCAAACATCTGTTTTAGGTTAGAGCCATCTCTTCAATTCAGAAAGGCTGGAGTCTTGCACTGGGCAGCAAATAGCAGGTGTAAAATTAATTTCCCCTTTGGTAGACTGGTGTAAAATTAATTTCCCCTTTTTACTGGAAGACATAATAAAGCAACCAAGGGTCTTTTTTGTTAGCACAAATCTAGTTATTTGAGACCTCTAGTTTTTAAGGCTTTTATTGGG